ATATGGATCCTTCTGATGCTTTATGTGCAAACACTCTGCAATATTAACTATTTCACTTTTGTATGCTGCTTCAAGTTGTGCCAGTCCTCTTTCCCCTTCCTTCCTCTTTACGTAAATTCTGTCTGCGTCTGCCTTCGGGTGATGCATCCCATAAATTGTCAACAGTTTCCTAGTTTTCCTGTCAATTTTCTTCAGTTCTTCTAGTCTCCAGTTAATTATTCCAAAACTGCACCTCAGTACTGGAACTGCTAACGCAATTATGGCAGTGATTTTGTTTCTGGCATTCAGTTCAGATTTCAGTATCATCCTTAATCTTCCATTATATTCCTTCTTCAGTTTATCTTTCATTTGTTGATGTTGTATGCCATCTCCTTCCTCAATTCCTAAGTATTTATATGTTTTTCCTTGTTCAAGCTGTTGTATTTCTGTGTCCATATCAATTAACAGATTTTCTGATTCAGCAAATTTTCCTTTTTTATACACAACCTTTGCACATTTGTCCAGTCCAAATTTCATTCCAATATCCTTACTGAATGTCCTAACTGTATGTAGTTGTTTCTGAAGTTCAGTCTCTGATTTGCATATCAGTTTTAAGTCGTCCATGTAGATCAGGTGTGAGACTTTTGTTTTAGTCTCATGTTCTTCATATCCTATATTCATTCGGTTGAGCTCGGCATATTTTCCTTTTTTATACACAACCTTTGCACATTTGTCCAGTCCAAATTTCATTCCAATATCCTTACTGAATGTCCTAACTGTATGTAGTTGTTTCTGAAGTTCAGTCTCTGATTTGCATATCAGTTTTAAGTCGTCCATGTAGATCAGGTGTGAGACTTTTGTTTTAGTCTCATGTTCTTCATATCCTATATTCATTCGGTTGAGCTCTGCTGTAAGAGGGATTAAACTAATACAAAATAATAATGGTGAGAGTGAATCACCTTGAAATATTCCACAATTTACTCTGATATCTGTTGTTTCGGTTATTTTATCTCCCGTATTTAGTTTCATACTAATTTTCCAGCTATTCATTGCTTTCCTAGTGAAAGATATTATCTTTTCATTAACTCCAATTAGCTCTAAAGATTTAAGTATCCAGCTGTGAGGAACGCTGTCGAATGCCTTTTTGTAGTCAATCCAGGCCATGCACAAGTTCTTCTTCCTGCTTTTACAGTCTTGCAGTATTGTTTTCGATACCAGCAGTTGGTTTCTGCATCCCCTTGATCCTCGGCAGCGCCATTTTTCTTCCTTTGGCATTAAATTTTGATCTTCAACATACTGCTGCATTCTGTTAGTAATTATTGCTGTAAATAATTTATATATTGTAGGGAGGCAAGTTACGGGCCTATAATTTTTTGGTAGTTCAGTAATTTCGTTTTTTGGAATAAGATATGTTATTCCAAGGGTCAGCCAGTCCGGAACGTGATCTTGATCAATCAGTTCGTTGAACACTTTTGCTAAATGTTGATGTGTCCCAGTGAGGTTCTTCAGCCAAAAATTTGCTATCTGGTCTGCTCCTGGGGCCTTCCAATTCAGAGTTTCTTTGAGAACTGCTGTTACCTCCCTCTCTGTTATTGGTTCCCATTCCATTCTCTGGTTTTGGCAA